TTGCCATATAAGAAGGTCACATTTTTTTCGAGAGAAGATAACGCCATAAAATACATATTATTCTCATTCGTAGTCCGTTATCTATAATTGTTGTAAACATTGTTAAAATGTGTTTATATTTACCAATTAAAGACTTCTTAGATCTTATATACATGTACATACATATACACATTAGCGTATATTCTAACTTTGCACTCTTTTTGCAGTATGGACTGTACAGCTGCTTCTTGGGCTGCTTTATCTACGTTATTTTCGGCACCAGCAAAGATGTGCCTTTTGGACCTACTGCCATTGCCGCATTGCTGACGTTTCAAATTGCTCGTGGCAGTTTGGAAAAAACAATTCTACTCACCTTTCTTACTGGCCTCATTGAAGTGCTGATGGGCATATTTCAGCTAGGTTTCCTCATCGACTTCGTATCTGGACCGGTCAGTGCAGGCTTCACCAGCGCCGCTTCATTAATCATTTTTACCTCACAACTTAAGGATATGTTGGTTGTAGATACAACTGGCGAGACGCTAGTACACATGTGGATCTCCATAGTTAAGGATTTTCATAATATCAGCTGGAATGATGCCGCTTTGGGTATAAGTTCGGTTATTATATTACTCTCTATGCGTTCGATGACCTTTGTCACTATCGGCCCGAAGGAGGGCAAAGCATGTTGGCAGCGTGTATTGCAGCAGATCATCTGGTTGATTGGCACTTCACGTAATGCAGTTCTTGTGATGTTGGTCGGTCTATTAGGTTATGATTTGCTCCATTCCGGCATCGATATCTTTCGTATGGTCGGTTATGTGCCACAGGGATTACCCGAACTGAAGATGCCAGCATTTTTTATAGATACCTTCACTAATACCACCAGCGGCGAGCTTGTGCGAACGCATGAAAATTTCATTGATATGGTAAGCAGTTTGGGTGCTGGTCTAATTGTGATACCGCTAGTTTCGCTGCTGGAAACCACAGCACTGATACAAACTTTTGGTGAGTAATGCTTGAAACACAATACCGGCGAATGGTCAAATTCGCCGAATTGGGCGATGCTGTCGTTCACCGTTTGCCCAGCTATTTCGCCTACTTAAACAGAATTAGAGCGGTAGCGAAAACAGCTGATGCCATTCGGTCGCCTTTATAATTTGTGTGACCATATTTAGAAAAAACGAAACCATATTCGGAAATGATAACAAATATAAATATAAAACAAAGAAAAATTATTATAAATTATTTTCTTGTAAGCCAGATTTAATGAATCCACAACTTACAGCTGCCATCGCCCAGCAGGGCAATAGAAATAAATCTATCGCCACGAAAGGCCGCCGAGCGTACTTCGCATTTCGCTTTGGCTGTGTTCAATTTACAGCCCGATTCTTTGCACTTGATAAGTAAAAAAAATTTATGATTTATAAATTTTTTATTATTTATTAAGAATTGCAATTCTAGCAGAGAAATCTTAAGCTCTTTTCTTGATAAATTATCAAGATTGAAAATGCTTTTGAGCAAACCTTTTATTATTGAATTATGAATTTTGTATAGTAATAAAATGGGTTCTATCATTTAAATACTTCATGAGCCGGCAATTGAGCCTGGAACACCCAGAATTTATAGCCATCTCTATCTACTCGGCTACGGCAGTCAAAAGCTTGTTTGCTTTTAAATTCATATTTTTCATATGTGACAATGAAATCAGTTCCTCTCGTGTGGAAATTAGTTCCCCTCTTGTGGAAATTGTAGAGCTTTTTATTTAATAAACATTGACACCGAATGCGACGGGAGCTTTTACTTGATAAAAATCTTGATACAATTTCTTTAAAAATAATTTATCAAGAAAACACAGAATTGGGCTTGCGGGTGTTCTAATTTTGACAGCGCGAATTTCGCTGTGGTGAGTTCGCCGTTCGTCGGCATTGTGTTTCCGCTATAAAATAGTAAATGGTGTGGCAAATGTACATACATAAGTATGTATGTATACAATATAATTATTGTTTTATTTTTTATTACCAGCCGATGGCAAGCCTTGTGATGCTAATCAAGAACTCATCGCCATTGGCCTTTGTAATGTTGGCACTTCCTTTGCGCAGGGTTTTCGTGGCAATGGCCCTTTGGCTCGAGGTGCTGTCTTGAATGCCAGCGGTGTTAGAACTCAGATGTCAAATTTGTATGCGGGAATTCTTGTGATGTTCGCTTTACTTTATCTAACTCCTGCCTTCTACTATGTTCCGAAAGCTGCTTTGGCTGCAATTATTGTTTCCGCGACGATCTTTATGCTACAATATCGCGTAATCAAGCCGATGTGGCGTAGTAAAAGTAAGTACATCCTAAAATGTATGCAATTTCCACGAGTGATTGAATTATTTGGCTAAGGAACTACTAAAATTAAAATAGTGTTTCAATCTCAATAATGTCACCTTTGTCTTTATCAAGGAAAGGGTGTTTAAAAAGAACATTTCGTGACACAGTTTCTATCTAAAATCAGGAACGATAATAACATGCTCAAATCTAAGTGTTCATAAACGCTGGTTTAAAGTATACTCTACTTCTTTTTAAATAAAGATTAGATAACACTGGTCTACAAATTTCAACTTTTTTTCTGCGAATAAGACGGGACCTGGTGTTTC